GATGCAAGAAGCTCAGAGCAATTACAGTAGGCACATTATAGGCTCCCGTTTCTCTTCCTGCTTTCTCTGCTTTTAGGGATCTATATCAGTTTCCAGAGACCTCATCTGTAGGCTGGTAATTGTCCCTGACATGTTTGAGACTCTCGGTTCCCTGACAGGTGGGAATCTCTGTGCTGCTCAGACTAGCTGCTCCTCACCTGTGGGCCACACTTTTATTGCGTGGTACGTCTGCAGCATCGTCACGCCGTTCTCCACTCTGATGCTGAGGCAATACTGTCCAGCATCACTGAAGGTATGGCTGAGATTGTAGCAGGAGCCATTAATCACCACCAGATGGCATTTTTCACCTTCAAGTGGAATGCACTCAGACTTTATAAGCCAGCATAAGGCCAGCGGTGGGCTGAAATGACAAAAAGAAAAAGAAAAAAAAATTAGGTGAAAATTTCACAAAAATTTCAGCTAAGACTTGATGAATCACTTGGTTAAAATAGCATAGTAATTTTTAAAATAATGAAGTTATTAAATACAAATAGAGAAGTAATTAACTGCACAATTGTTTGGTTTATGGCGTTTGTCAATTGAAACAGTTCTTTGTGATGCTTCTATAAAAGCAAACCTTTCAGCTGAGAGCTAAATACCTATGCGGGTCGTAGGCAGGCCACTGTGTATAGAAAGTCCCACAGTCCTTCTCCAATAAATATAAAAGGAACCTTTTTTTTCCTGCCCTTCCAAGGGATTATGGGTTGGTTTTCCTCTCTGCTTTTCACACAGTGGAGATCACTGTCTGTGCTACTGAAGTGCACCCAAGATTTTTCTGATTAAAAAAAACCCCACAAGCAATGGAGAGAATGTAAGATGAGCTCTCTACAATGGACTAATAGCTGGAAAGGGTAAATAGATTGCAAGGATCACAGCACTCCCCTGCAATAACAAAAAGGTTTTTATTTGCTATCAGGCAGTCTAGGTGCAATCCACTTTATGGCCATGTGTCTTCTCACCATGTCTACTTGATGCCTTTTATTTGCATTTTTAGATCCTTGTTCCAACTGATTCTGCTCAGATTCTCCTTATGCACTATGGACTTTGATTCTGACAACAGACAGAGCTTTTCTTTACCCCATCTTATTAGCTTTTTGTTCCTTATCTCTTTAGAATATTCTCTGCTAAAGAAAGCAGCATGTTTATGCGTTTAGCTCATCTTCTAGCTTTGTTTTTGATAACCCATCTCTTAAGCCTTTGTCATTGCTTCTCTATCATAAACTCCTATTGCATCAGTCCCAGTCGGGTGGCTAGGAGCGTAGGTCTGGCAAACATTGTCTGTCCTAAAACCAAGCCTGCTTTTAGGGATCTCAGGTTTGCCTGTAATGGTTTTGGGCTGTTCATATTTACTTGTATGCCATCTCCAGTTTCAACTCCTGCCAATGTGCCATTCACTTTCTGAATACAAACTGTGCTACTTTGTCTATTGGGACTATTTATGCCTTGACTCTGAGTTGGGTGCTGCTCCTTCCATCCTACATCCCTACTAACAGCCCTGTGCTTTTTCTTTTTTTTTTTTTACTTTTTTTTTTTCCTCCCAGGGGCAGAATGTGAAAGTGTCACTCTTTTGGAAAATAAATGACATCTGTGGTCATGGAGTTTTTATGGAGAAGAAAATTTCCTGAATGTTTAAATGGTATTTAAATGCTTCTGCCATACAAAAACCCAATGTGTTGTGTTGTAAATACTGCAGCTTGAGAAAGCTTGTCCTAGGATTGCGGTGCTCACGACTCTCTTATATTTCTGTAATTCTCTCTGCATGGAGCCTCTCTGTCTTACTCATCTTGTGGCAATCTTAACTTTGCCAGAATTATTCCCTGAACCCATTACTTCCATGTGCCAGTGAAGGATTGCTGCTATACAACAGGACTCTGAATGCAGTTTAATTGAATGGTGGGGAAATTGGTCATGGAGAAAAATTCAGAAGGAAGTTTTAAACTGTAATTTTTCCCACTGTCTTTCTCTGGCTAGTTCTCTTTTAACATTCTCTTTACAAAGATAAAAAAATAACATTTGCTTTGCATGAGGATTCTACGTTTCTCTAAAGATGCAGGCTCTTTCAGGCTCTTAGACTTCATGGTATTTGAAGTCAGGAAAAAAGCAATATTCAACAGTATTTTGTTCAAAGGAATTTTTTTTTTTTGTTTTAAGAAACAGTTCTGTGAGGTGTAATTGACTATTATAAGGAAACACTGGAGGAAAACACTTAAATAGACAATGGGTTTTGGGGAAAGAAGTTGTGTTTGCTACTTACGTGCCATTGATATGAAGAGATAAACTCAAGTTTTCCATTACGTGAGTCTCTCTGGAGCCCACTACATTGATACTTTTAACAGCATCTGAGAGGAAGAAAAAAAAGGCATGTCACACTCCACATGTAAACTTGAAATTCACTGATTTTCCAGCGAAGGCTTGTTTTCATAGACATGTTTAGATTTCATGTTTAGATTTTAGCTCCATCAGTCACTCAAATAGTAATACTTGCCACACACCCAAAAAAGAAACCTAGTGGTAGAGTTGTTCTAAGTTTTCTGAATGTTTTGTGATTTCTTTTAAATATATAATCACATACTTTATTAGTCCTGTTTTACTTATGTGTTCATTTACTTTGGAAGCTGATCAAATCAATGAGACTTTCCTAATGCTTATTTTAACTAATTTACTTTTTAGGGATAGCTGGAGTAAATTAAACAAACAAATCCTTTATAAGTTACGGTAAACTATTTTAAGTGTATGTGAGACTTTTACAGAAAGACAGTGACACTTTTGGTAAATGAAAAAGATACAGAAGATTTTCTATATTTCTCCCCATTTTTTTTCTGCACTAGAACAGTGCAGAGTCCATTTTGCAATGGAAACTCTTCATTGAATAATGTTGCCCAAGTCTTGCATGTAAAACAACACTGAAGTTGTATTATCACATTCAAACTAGATTGTATCTGTACATTACAGCAAGTTCTTTTTTGAGTATGCAAAATGTTTAATAATTACCTAACAGCTCCAGAGCAGTGGTAAAATCACCAGTTTTCTGCACCGTTTCTCTTTCATGTATGATGCTTCCAATTTGCTCCCATTCCGCTATGACTTTCAGATGCACTGTGCGATTCCCCATGGTAGAGCAGTTATAGTAGACAAAGGGTTCCTTAGTTATCTGATAAATGCTATGTGTAACATGAAAAGATTGAGAATCAAAGTTGCCTTTTACCAAGTCCTTGCATATTTCTGATTTAAAAAGGAGCAAGGTCAAATATACTTTCTTTATAGAAAATGCTACAGTTGGCTGTGATTCTAATTCTGCTTTATATCCATATCAATGAGTATTAATGTCTGTGGCATTACCAATAAAACTATAATTAGTATAAGACCCAGAGTATATTTATGCATTTTTAATCAAAGAAACTAAAGATAATGCTAAAAGAATTCACAAAATTGAATTAAGTAAATTGTGAAAACTATCTTTATAGCAGGTTGACTATAAGCTAACTGAAGCACTAAGGTGGGGGCGGAGAAAGAAAGAAAAAATGTAGTATTTGTAGACTAAAGCTTACATTTCTCTTTGCATACACTTATTTATATTGGACATATACTCATCCTCAGAGAAGGAAAATAACTGAATGTCTTTTTTCCTCCCTACTGCAGAGTGGCCTAAGGGCTAGATACTGCCCATGGTTTTATTTCTGATGGTTATGAGCAATGGTTTTTTTCCCCCCCCCCTCCATTTTGATATCAGGTAAGCATTAGGTGTGTGTTAATGTGCACCTCCATATTATTTGAGAGACCCATACACTTTCAAAAGCTCCTCACCCAAGCTGAGGTATATTTATGGGTAGCTGGTCATAGTGACATACTGCCCAGCCACAAGACAGTATACTGCTTCCAGTTTCCTTAAGTGCACAAGTTATTCACATATTCAACAACAACCACCTGCTAATGGAGATCTGCAGGCGTAATGATGTTTTAAAATAACAAGTTACAATAAGTTACTTTTTCCAGTTCATTCAGTTCAGTTTGGCTCATTGCACACACAGTAATACACCTAAGCATATATTTGAACAAGAAATTTAGGTCTTTAAAAGATGACCTTTTTGTGAGTACACAGTGACTTCTGTGCCAGAGTTTTTGAAATTCAGCTGGCTGACATGCTAAGAATGTACCAACTGACAAAGGTGTACGCTTTGTCCTATGATTTAATTGGGATTTTTCTCTAGATGAGCGTCTGAATCAGAGACATCTTGAATACTCATTAAAGCAAACAAAGTATCCACACCTACCCATCTCCAAAATCCCAGTTGTAGACAAATGATGCTGACTTGAAGTAATGACTTGGGTCGTGAAGACAGAAAGAAATCCGAGTCACAGCACCCGTGGAAGAAGTAGAACCATGTGTGATAAATCTACTGTCTTCTATCTGGGCAATGGTAAGATTCCCTGTGATAAATTCTGCAGAATAATAAGGTGGAGAAAGAATGACAGCATATATCACCTTCATAGCATGTTCTCTGTGACTATCAAAACATTATTTAAAAGGCACAGCATAAGTCTTTCTGTGTCCTAGTCCAAGTGGTTAAGTGTATTTTATATCTAATACTGTGTTGTTACATGTGTTAGTGAGGCAGAGAGATTAAATTACTTACTTAGGGTTATAAAATGGGCCATGATAAAGCTTCTAATAGAACTAAGAGAAATAATCCTGGACTGATTGAAGTACATATCAATTTTTATTATTGATTTAAAAATAACTGGGATTAATGTCAGGTGTCTAGATTCAGAATCAAACCTGTATACATGCCCTTCAAAAAATAACTGGGATTAATGTCAGGTGTCTAGATCAAGGGATTCAGAATCAAACCTGTATACATGCCCTTCGTGTTTGGGGTGGTGGTTTTTATTTGTTTGTGGGGTTTTTATGTTGCTGGTTTTTGTTTATTTAGTTTTAGCTACTTCCACAGAAATGAAAATTTGACTACTGTGAATAACAGATGTGCTATATGCTGTGGATACAGAAAGGGTGAAATTTTGATTTTTATGTCTGTGAGAGATCCTATGCTCAAGTTTGTTTACAAGGACTGGCAAAGGCTGGTCTAAGAAAACCTCTCTAACCTCTGAATGAAGAGGTATTATGATGAGACACTTATCAGCTCATTATAAAATTAACGGGATATTAATTAACTTGCCTTGTTAACAATTCATTAAATCTGGTTAACTGTTCTCTTGATGGTGCACAAATAAGAATCACAATTACTGCTTCAGAATGGGGCTGGTTACTTACTACCTGGAGTTGTAATTTATACAAGTTATTGGCAACTACCTCTGGGCCCCCGTGAAGCCCCTGCTTGGGGAAGGCAGAAAGGCACGATGGGATCTTACCTTTCACAGCTATAGAAAGCTTCTATTCCTTGTGCTTGTGGCATGAGAATGTAAGACAGTGCAAAGCAAGGAAGGAGTAAGTAGATACTCAGCAAGGCAGTAGTTTTTAAGAGAGAAAAGATCTTGTGTATTCTTTTATAAAGCTTAGCATTCCTCAAAGAAAAAAAAAAAAAAATCTCAATAGCTGTTCCCCAAAATGTCAGCTATGCCCTATGGTTAGCGCTTTTGTCCTCATGCATGTCCTTATCTTTGGCTGGGTCTATTTTGGAGCAGATAAATGGGACATGGTTGGAGGGATGCGGTTACTAGTCTCTGAAAGAAGAGATCGTGGGGAAGCTGTGAGATATTTTATGCCAATCCCTGTATCAGAGATTACGTTAGCCATATTGCACCATTGGTCAATTTGTCAAAAAAATACATATTTATGGCTATGAATATCCCCAGTAAGCTGAAATTGCACTTAGCAATGTTTGGAAATGCAGCCAGGACTTCACATCCAATTTCAGTACAATTGGTCAGAACTTTAAAAGAAAATGTAATGGCTCTGTTGTGCTGATGGCCTAAGTTTTTGCTATGTCATGCAACAGGAAAAATCAGTAGATTGTCACTGCTGCTGGCCACCTTGACCTTAGGACTAGAAATGCTGGGAAGCAGTACAGGAAGCATTGTTTTAGGAGTCTGGACAACATCGAACGACAATGATGTATGAACTGCAACTACCGAAGCATCTGGTTTCTCGTTCAGTTTCTATAAGTGACAGAGGCAGGAAAGCACGGGCAGGATCACACTTGCTTCCGGGATGCAGGAAGACTACAGCATGGCCCAGTTAGTGCAGTGCCAGCCAAAACCACCTTCAACCAAAGGCTACACTCGGTTGGCAGAAGCCATATTTACGCCTGACTTTCATTTTTCTGACGCTAGCAAAAGCATCCTGATATGAACTGACTTCCTGAAGACCTAGAAATTGTAAAGCCATTTTACCTGTAATCTGAAGCACGGTGACATTTCTAGCAACTGGACGACATAACCAACAGTTTCTATGAGTCACCCAGACTGATACAGGAAAAGTCCCAGGAAATTCACTGGTCACATTAATTACGGAGTTAAACCACTGCTCGGATTTCTCTATCAGAATCAGAGGAGCATAAATCCAGTTAAAGTGATACAAGTTTGGTGCGACACTGTCATTCTTCCTACTTAGACTGGCGTGAACAGTAGCTTGAGCTCCTGTTGTGATGGGACCATTGTTGGTTATTTCCAGATCATAGTCCTCTGTGGAAATCAGAAGAAAAAAAACCAAAACCTTGTTGTATTGCATTTTTTATTTTATTTGTTTATTTATACATTTTAACTAGTCAGCTGTAGTCAGAGGACTCACAATGACACTCATCCAAGCAAAGATTTTACCAGCTTTTTTTTTTTTTACCATTTAAAAACCTGGAACAGAAACTGTTGCATGTATATACGAGTTCAAACAAGTAGCATTAGACAACACGTTAGACTGGGTCCTAGAAATGTTAATAGTTGAAGGAAGCTTTGGCAAGGTTTTATAGGCAGAGCTGGGCACTGGCTGTAGGTTCAGTGCCACTAATGATCTAACATGGTCACTAAACTTCTAGCTACTGGAAGAAAGTCAAGTTCAGCTCCAATCTCTGTCCTAAAAAAAAGAACTTTCAAACTGAGGTAAGATTTCATCCAATAGATTCCTTTTTCAGCTCTGTTGACCCACAAGTCTCCCCCACCTTCCTCCTAACTGAACAAAAAAACCTCAGTACCAGCTGGCCCTAAGTTCAGATTTTTGAGTTAATAGAGAAATGGTTGCGATTTGATGAAATCTGGCACAGAGAGGTTTCAGGTCTCTAGAAGGTTCAGGCTACTGTCTGCTTTGTTTCCACAGAACTTGGGGAAAAAATAACCAGCTACCTCACGCTTATCTAGCACTTCTCCTTGGAGGTTATCACGGTGCTTTACAAACCAGGGCCATACTGAAGCCCAATAGCTGCAGCAGCTGGAGATTAAGCGGCTAACCCAAGGTCACCCAGTGAGTCACCGGCAGAGCAAGACATTTCATCCAGTCCTGGGATTTCTCCTACCTTCCCGACCCCTCTTTGCAGAATGCAGCACAGCGAGGGCGGGAGGCTGCCCGGGTGCCGTGTGACCCACTGTGCTGGGTCAGCGGGGGAAGCGGCAGCCCAGCTTTTGGGTTAGGAAGTGCAAAGCAAAACCCTGGCTCCCCGGGACGCCTCAGCTTCACTGCAAGCACCAAGGTCGCAGCGCCTAAGAATAAAGTCTGGGGCGGCGAGAGGGTGCCCGGAGCCGCCTCCATCCCCGGGCATGGCCAGCGAGG